GAAGGCCACATGGAAGGCAGGGAAGCATGGCAGGACTGCGGGCCGCGGACCAGTTCGGGGGCGTGGCCAGCCAGCCATTGCTACCGGTTCGGCGAACTAACTCCAATCTCAGCTACTGGTTCTCCCGAACCAGTCCAAACCGGTAGCATTTCAGCCCTGGTTTTTAACTGATTCTGGTTTATAGCTGCACACTGCTAGTTTATATTCAAATGATCATCCAGTAGGACTCCAAAATCCCTCTCACAGTTAACTGTTTTTGATCCAGGTCTCACCTAATCTGTACTTATATCTTTGATATTTTTTTTTGCCTAAATGTAAAATTTTGCTTTTCTCCACATTAATATTCATTTTGTTGGATAAGACCCATTGTTCAAGTCTGTCAAGATCTTTTTGGATTCTCAGCTTGTCTTCAGGGGTGTTGGCTATTCCTGCCAGTTTAGTGTCATCTGCAAATGAGTTTCCCTTCTATTCCCTCATTTAAGACATTTATGAAAATATTGAAGAGTACTGGGCCTAAGACAGAGCCTTGTGATACCCACGACTTACTTCTACATGTGGATGTAGTACCATTAAGTACTATTTGTTGAGTACGGTTTGTCAGCCAGCTACAAATCCATCTGGTGGTGATGCTGTCTATTCCACATTTTTCTAGCTTACCAACAAGTAGGTTGTGGTCTACTTTGTCAAATTTAGTTTAGTTTAGTTTAGTTTAGTTTAGTTTATTTGATTTGTATACCGCCCTACTCCCGAAGGACTCAGGGCGGTGAACAGCCAAACAATAAAATACATAGATACAAAAAATTTAAAAACCAGATAAAATCAAATTAAATCATTTTGGCCCAGACAGATTAAAACACCCCAATAATTTAAAAACAGATTAAAATTTACATATTTAAAAAAGGGAAGAGATTAGGCCAAGCCCGCCTGATGGAATAAAAAGGTCTTCACAGCGCGGCGGAAGGTGCGCAGATCCGGGATCCTCCGTATCTCCGGGGGGAGCTCATTCCAGATGGTAGGTGCCCCCACAGAGAAGGCTCTCCCCCTAGGGGCCGCCAGTCGAAATTTACTGAAATCTAAGTATACTATGTCCACAGCATTTTGCTGGTCGTCTAATTTAGTGACTTTAGCAAAGAATGAAATAAGATTGGTTTGGAATGATCTATTTTTAACAAACACATGCTGGCTACTAGTTATAACTTTATTTGATTCTAGTTGTTCGCATATCTGTTTCTTGATTATCTTTTCCAGGATCTTCCCAGGCATTGATGTTAGACTTATTGGTCTGTAGTTTCCTGGGTCTGTTTCTCCCCTCCCCCCCTTTCTTTCTTTTTCTTTTTGAAATTTTTTTATTTTTAAACAAACATACATACAAATATAAAACCATCTTCAATTACACACAGTGTGTCGGTTGGTTACAAATCTTTTGTGCGTCTTCACCATATTCATAGCTTACAGTTTACCTAAATTCTTATATTATTGATCTAATATATATCTATGTATTATTATCCTCATTAATCACTTATTTAACTATAGCTATTCTTCCCTCATTTTGTACAAAATATTCTAAGATTTGAGTTAATTTATATTATAACAATCATTTCATCATCCTGAAGCGATCCAATAATAATACATCTTTATGTTATATTTTATATAGTTCTACAATTCATGTATTATAAAAAATCTCTATCATATTTCATTTCCATATTTATTGTCTAACCATTGATAAAATAAATCCCATATCTTATAATATTGTTCATCTTCTTGTTCTCTAATTTCAAATGTCAATTTACTCATTTCAGCACTTCCCCCCACCCCCCACCCCCACTTTCTTGAAGATGGGAACCACATCAGCCCTTTTCAGATCCTCAGGTACTTTCCCAATGCTCCAGGATTTTTGAAAGATATGGTACAATGGTTCTGAGATAATATTTGCCAGCTCCTTTAGGACTCTGGGATGTAACCTGTCATGTCCCGGTGATTTATATTCGTCAAGCTCAGATAGGTGCTCTCTTACCATTTTCTTGCTTATTTTAATTTTTATTTCTAGTTTGTCTTTTACAGTAGTTTTTTGGTACGTTGGGCTGTAATTTATTTTTGCATGAAGACTGTTGTAAAGAATGAGTTAAGCACTGCCTGTTATTTCCTTGCCATCTTCTCTCTTTAGTGGACCTACTGTTTCCTTTACTTTTTTCTTGTTATTAGGGTCTTTTTGCCTAGGTTTTTTGGCAACACCAACACTTTAGCCAGTGGTTTATTTCTAGAATTATTTTTCCCCTCAATGGATCACCTTTCGTTGGGAGTACTAATGAGAACACTACTTGTGCTCCTAGCTCCTTAACATTAATTGCCTACTTGCTTATAATCTCTCAATATTGTACTCAGGTTCTGTTGTATCTTTTGTCCCAATGTTAAGGAAGAGGAAAGGGTAGTAATCTGTGGGCTTAATTATTTTGGTTAGGTTCTCAGCCACATTTTTGATTTTTGCTCCAGGGATACCTCCCTAGAATATATGTCCGGTCTGCAGATGGCTGGTTCTGTTCCTTTGAGAATAGAATCTCACTCTCGCCTTCCTGTTTTAGGGGATGCAGTCTGGGCTGCTTTTCTGTTTATCTCAGGTGTGTTTGTTGATTTGACTTTTTAAGGGATATTTGATGATGTTTCTTTTCTAGATGTTTGCATGTTTTCTTTGAGGGGGAGTTTGTGGGTCTGAGTATTTTCATCTAGGGGAAGAAATCGGTTGCTCAGTTTTAATGGGACTGCTTCTGATTGGGTTAGATTGGGCAGCAGGGGTTTGTTAGATGTGTGCTGATTCTTTCTTTGATTATTGTGTTTCCTTCTATGCGTGACCTATCTCTCTCCAAGGGTTTATCAGCAGGGTAAATCCTCTTGGAGTTATTTGTTCATTATTTGGTTCAATTTGGGCATAGCTTTCTTGCATAGATTGGAGTTTGGTTAGAGTTGCCTCTAGATCCCTTACTTTTTCCTCTAGTAGTTCACATAGTTTATATTTAATACATGTATAATTTGGGTGTTTTTTATACTGTTGTATACTACAATAGTATCAGTCATCTGTTCCATGAGCTTGTTTCTTTTTGCTGGTTCTTTTAAGGGTAAAAAAATTACGTCTCTTTCTTTTCTTTTTTTTTCTATCCTTTTTTCTGCCTTTTTCTGCTCATTTTTCTACCTTGTTATTTATTTAACTTGCTTACTGTTACGTTAGTTTTATTTATCCTTTTCTTCCCTATATTTTTTTTAAGTTTTTGAGCTCTAGTTCCTCCCCATCTTATTATTTAAAATTTGCTTTATTTATTTGATTGATCTTTATTAATCCTATTCTTCCTTGGTTTCTAATTTTCCACTCCTGTCCTTATTATTTGCCTAATTATCTTTTATTTTCTGTCCTGTATTTATTTTTATTCTCTACTGGGGTCTTCCCTCCCTGTCTATTGGAACCTCAGGCTTAATTTTTTGCCTTCTGTCGTTTGCTGCTCCAGCCTCTTGTTGTTTTCTCTGCCAGCTTCCTTTTGTCCTTTGGTGCTTAGGCCTTTTCAGCCTCATCCCTGCAGTGGTCAGCTCTCTCGGCCTGCCATTTAGCTTTCTGGTCTGCTCAACTCCATTGTCTGGTCTGCTTCACTCAGCCGTCCACTCAGCTCCACCGTTGCTTTCCCCGTTGTTCTCTGCACTGCTCCCAGGCTCTAGCTCACTGTGCTGCCCTGTGCTGGCTCTCTCTCCTCCCTGTTGCACTGCTGCTGCTTTTTGCTCTGTAACTTTCCTCTGTAGCCGTTTGCTTGTCCGTTGCACCAGAACACTGCTTCCACCAGCAAACAGGATGGCCTGGATGGTCCCCAGCAAGCTTGTCTCTGCTCTCTTTCCTTCCTCCCTGTTATACTCTCATTTGGCATTTTGGCTTGATCTACAATTTTCCTATCGTCTATTTGGCAGGGCTATGCTTTCTTCCTGTCATCTGTTAGATACCTAAGAGGAAGAATTGATGATGACTGAATTCACACAACTGATCCCTTTCCCCCTACTCCAGATTCACTTGTGATTTGTTTCCATGTCCACTGCTTGACTCTTCAGAACCAGATGTAAATGTAGGAACTAGATATTAGAGGATGCATGATACAGAAAGGGCAACATTCCTGCCAAAATCTTAATTCAGTACTGTTTTCAGGAGTTTGTTTAGGTACATAACTTACATGTGTAAATTTTAGGTGATCATTAGATGAATCAGGCGCAGGTTAAGTGTCCCTTTTTTGTTAATATTATTCAAATATAAGGGAATCAAAAATCTCTTATCAAACTGCTCTATATTGAAAATATACTCCAGTCATCTTTATGCTCACTCATTAATTATAACTTGTATGGGTGAACCATAAACAACAGATCTAGTGCCCTAGTGTTCCTGAAATTGGTGAGGTTTACTTAGTTTTAAATGTCACTCAATAGCAGGGATGGACAACCTTTTCAGTTCTAAATGCTGCTTTGATTATTGAGTGGGGATCAGGGGCTGCACATTTTAAGAAGGATGCTGGATCATGGGCTGTACTTTCTTAAAGGGAACAAGGAAGATTGCTCTCTATTTTTACCATAAGGGAAAACCAGCAATTTTTGCCAACCAACTCAGTAATAAAAAACAAGTAGGGGTCTTTGATGTTTTGTAGACTATAGTATTTGTTGCATTAGTTATTGAAATATATTGTCTATTTGGTTGCCCAATTCTGCACTTTACGTTATATAGTAGTGAAGTACAAAATTGATCGGGTCAAGGCTCCCACTTGCCTTTTGAGTGGGTTCCAAAAAATACATTCTCTCCCCCAAAAAGAGAGTGGGATCAGGACAAAAATTCATTGTAAGTGTAATATTATGTAATCATTTATTTAATAATGTCTGCTGCTGTTTAATTGTAATTAGGTCATAATATTTTAAATTCCCTGGAAGTAGCACCCAAAATTTGAAAGCACTGAGTATTATCTGATTAGATTCTTTTTTCATTACAGGTGAAAGCCAATGATTCTGATCAGGGTGCCAATGCTGAGATTGATTATTCCTTCCATCAGGCTTCAGATGTAATTCATCGGCTGCTACGCTTAGACAGAGCCACTGGACTCATCACAGTACAAGGTCCTGTTGATCGTGAAGATATTAATGTGCTCAAGTTCTCAGTGTTGGCTAAGGACAAGGGAGCTAACCCCAAAACTGCCCGTGCCCAGGTAGTGATCAGTGTCAGGGATATGAATGATAATGCTCCATCCATTGAAATTCGTGGTATTGGTTTGGTGACTCATCAGGATGGCATTGCCAATATTTCAGAAGATGTGCCAGTTGAGACACCTGTGGCTCTGGTACAGGTGTCTGATCGGGATGAAGGTGAAAATGCTGTTGTAACCTGTGTGGTGGCTGGTGATGTACCTTTTCAGCTGCGACAAGCCAGTGATACTGGCAGCGATAGCAAAAAGAAATACTTTCTACAGACCACTACACCGTTGGATTATGAAGCAGTGAAAGAGTATACCATTGAGATTGTAGCTGTGGATTCAGGTAATCCACCCCTATCAAGCACTAATTCCCTAAAAGTGCAGGTGATGGATGTCAATGACAATGATCCAGTGTTTAGCCAGAGCTCAACAGAAGTGGCATTTCCTGAGAATAATTCCCCAAATGACTTGGTGGTAGAAGTGAGTGCTACTGATGCAGATAGTGGATCTAATGCTAAACTGGTCTACTCACTTGCTGGAGAATCTTTATCAAAAGACACCTTCTCAATTGATCCAGAATCTGGTGAAATTCATGTAAAAAATGTGCTGGACCGGGAACAGCAAGAACGCTATGAATTCTTAGTAGTTGCAACTGATAAAGGTAGCCCTAGCCGCAAAGGAACTGCCTCAATTGCCATCAGTGTCATGGATCGCAATGATAACGATCCAAAATTCATGCTCAGCGGCTACAATTTTTCTGTCATGGAAAACATGCCCCCACTGAGTCCAGTGGGCATGGTGACAGTTATTGATGCAGACAAAGGAGATAATGCTGTCATTCGACTCTCAGTGGAACAGGACAATGGTGACTTTATCATCCAAAATGGTACTGGAACCATTCTCTCCAGTATATCTTTTGATCGTGAACGACAGAGTACTTACACTTTCCGGCTTAAAGCTGTGGATGGGGGAGACCCACCTAGATCTGCTTATGTGGGGGTGACAATCAATGTATTAGATGAGAATGACAATGCTCCTGTAATTATATCTCCATCCAATGCTTCCTATAAACATATTCTGCCTAACACTAGTCCTGGGCAACAGGTTATGAGTGTCGGAGCCGAAGACATTGATTCTGGGATCAATGCTGAATTACTATTTAGAATTGCTGGGGGAAACCCCTTTGAACTCTTTAAGATTTCATCTGTAAGTGGAAATATCACACTAGAAAAAGAGATTCTCCGCAAGCATCATGGACTTCACCGCTTGGTTGTACATGTAAATGACAAAGGGAAACCTTCTCACCATGGCACAGCATTAGTTCATTTTTATGTGAATGAAACATTGGCTAACCGGACACTGTTGGAGACTCTAGTAGGACACAGTTTGGACACACCTATTGACATTGACATTGCTGGTGACCCAGAGTATGAGCGCAACAAGCAGCGCAGTAATATTTTGTTTGGAGTCATTGCAGGCATAGTGGCTGTCACCTTGATAATTTTGCTTGTTGTGCTGGTACGCTATTGCCGTCAGAAGGAGGCCAAAAGTGGTTATCAAGCTGGCAAAAAGGAAACTAAGGATCTGTATGCTCCCAAACAAAGTAGCAAAGGGAACAAAGCCAAAGGCAAAGTGAAAAAAAGCAAATCCACTAAGCCACCAAAACCAACTGAAGATGAAGAAGAAACAGGTCTGCAGAAATCACTTAAATTCAACCTTATGAATGATTCAGTAAGTGACAGTCCCCGCATCCATCTGCCTCTTAATTATCCACCTGGAAGCCCTGACTTGGGTCGCCATTACCGTTCCAATTCACCTTTGCCTTCCATTCAACTGCAACCCCAATCACCATCTGCCTCCAAGAAGCATCAGGTAGTACAGGACCTCCCAGCCACCAATACATTTGTGGGCACTGGGGACAGCAATTCTACAGGCTCGGAGCAGTATTCAGACTACAGCTACCGTACCAACCCTCAGAAATACACCAATAAACAGGTAGGAGAGATTGTGCTGCACCCTCCCACCATTCCCTCATGCTACAACAGGGCCATATGGACAGAAGTGTGGGAATGAAATGGACTTGGCCCCGATTGCATGAATAGATTGGCAGGATGCAGGTTGGAGGACTGCAGTGTCCAGATGCATGTTATATTCACAGTACTACTTAGAAAAGAGGCTTCCTTCAATCCAGCAAATTAAGGGAATAAGGGTGCGAGTGGGGAGAAGATTATATGATTGTGGTAAATCAGAGCAGGCTGATGGCATTTAGGGAAATGAATCCTACCATTTGGGTGCAGCATGAAGGGTTGGATTGTCAGTGGTCAATGATCCATGCACCAGGATGTATTCAGTTCTGATGTTTCATGTTCATTACTATAAAACAGGTGTTAAAGTCCTAGAGCTGGGTTTGTTTATGGATCCCATTTTTCAGTCATACTTCCATTCAGATATCATTGATCTGAATCATTGAAAGCATTGATTTTTTCTGTAGAAACTTGATGCCACTAGAGCCTTAGTACATTTGCAGATACAGTATGGTAAAATTGAGCAATTTTAATAGAGTGACATGGTCCATTGATATTAGATTTTTGCATGCAGAAATGGAATTGACTCTATAGCTAGAATGGCATAGGGAATCTTTGGTGTGGGATTAGATTATGAGCACATGCAGATTACTGCTGCTGGAATTCAAAGCAAGGAAAACCATCTGCTTCAAAACATTTTGATCTATGATAAACAACATAGCAGAATAGAAAAGTGATATATAGTTTGCAAACTGAGTAGTATTTGGGAAATATTCTTAACCACTGAGGCTTAGGTACAATTTTGGATGCCATGCTTCAAACTGGTTGCAGTTAGTTATCAATAAAAATATGAAACATTCAAGGAGTAGTGTTAATCTTCCTTCCATTGTGTCATTATTTCCTTTCTTTTGGGGCTTATTATATATGCTAATTTTTCTTCTCAGCTTTGTTCAGGTAAAGTTACTTTACCCATGATGTGATGTCAATAAATGTTTCCATTGTTAGATGATGTGCTATGATGTGTTGATCACTGACTTTTGTGTAGCAATCTATAGTGCAGTGGTGGGGAAACCAAATGATGGGGAGGCAGAGAGGAGAATGGGCATGATGACATTGCTTTTGGAGATCGTTGTTTCAGCAATTGAAATTATGTTAAATTTTTAGTTACCATAAATGAAAAAAGCAAATCAAGGGAATCAGTGGTGGGTTGCTACCGGTTCGCCCCGGATCGGCAGCTCTGCCTGCCTGCCCAGATGCTTCTGCACATGCGTGCGCACACACTCACAAGTGAACTGGTAGTGACAGGTTTTGAAACCCACCCCTAAAAGGAACAATATGAATTTCATTCAAACGTATATGAGAACCAAATTGGAATGAAGTTATCACAGAAAATTTTACATTTCATATTTTCAGAGAGATTTAGTGTGCTGATTTAAAAACAAAAGATGTCTTTTTGCAAAAACTTGCACTTTTAAAAACTATCTCAGGGCACACCAATTATAGCAGTGATTTTGTACATATTATAGTACTTAACAAGGTCTGTAGCATATTGTTGGGATTTTTAGAAGTTTTTTGCCAATCATTTTGATTAATTAGGCTCCTAGAAATATTTTTTTACAATTTTTATTATAAAATATTTATTATAAAAGTTTGTATTATAAAATACAAACTCCTAAAAAATACAGAAAACAAAATGAAACTAAACAAGACTACACAAAAAAGAGTACATAAAAAACAAAACAAAACAAAACAGACATATACACAAATTGTTCCCCCTAGTTGAATACTGATAAATATACCTCAAGGATATATGCCTCCTTTGCAAAGCAGACACACAATTTATAAATTTCTAGAACAATATTTACCCAATCCTGACCTCTATCTACTATATGGAAAGATAGTTAATAGGTAAAACCAACAACCAAATTAAACTTCAGAACCCTCTGTTAAGGGTCTATTTATTGTATTTCACACAAAGAAAATCCACAACGGTTTCTGGTCTGTTATAAATTACCACAGTCATTGTTTCTGGTCCATCCAGGATCAAATATTCTCAATTGATTCTTAATAGTGAGCCTTTTCCTTAGGATTGTAATCGGGATCTTTCCTAACATTGGATTTTATTCCCGAAAGGCACAAGTTCCTATTGTGTATACCTCCAAAGCATTTGTTGTATTAAAAAAGTCTTCTGTAAATTGTAACATGGCCTCTCTTAACATTTGTTTTCCGATTGGGAATGATAAATCCATTCCTGAATATCCTTCAATCGTCTTGAAAAAATCGAGTTCATAACTGATCAATACTATCAACTTTGAATCTTTAAAATCCAAATCTTTCTCAGCTTTTCTTCTCTTGCCAACTTGCATTTTCCAAGTCCAGCTCATCTTTCAGGTCTGCCAGCAGCAAATTATATTCCAATCCATGAGGTTGGAAATCTTCTACTGCTTTTACTTGAACTGTTTATACACCAGAAGATAGGCTCAAGATCCAGAACAGTGAGCCCTATTTAACCTAATGAAAATTCAATGTGGATAAAAGTAAGATTTTACACAGGCAAGAAAAACTATTTGTACAGATAAAGGTTGAGTGAAACCTGGCTAAATACTAGTAACTGTGAAAAGGGTTTTGAGTCCTAGTGGACAATTACTTAAATATGAGCACACCTGGCGCAGGTCTCTGTCAAGGCCCTCTTTGAAATAGTAAACGAGCTGTTGTTCTGACCAGCATCCCTGCAACTCTTCGAAACTCTCAAATGTATTCCTTCACTGGCCGTCCCCTTTGCTTTAGCTCTCGTATCTCTCCCTCTGCCTGTTGGGCCTTCGCCTCATCTTCGAACCTCACCCACAGCTCCCGCAGGAACATCCCAGCATCCCTCTGCTTGGATGCTTCATCATGAAGGGTGGTCACCCATTCTTCCACCTCCCCCTCGAGGTAGGCCACCATCACATTTACCATTGCTCTCTGAGTTGGGTAGATTAAGGTGTAACGGTCTAGGTGGTCCAGCACATGGTCAAGGAAGATTGCCAGCTTATTGGGGTCCCCATCAAATATCTTTAGGGGTGGAGGCTCCATCGGGTAAGGTGGCAGTGGCCAGTACCCCAGATATCACTCGGGCCCCGGGGGGGGGAAGTGGGCTTGTTCCCCCCCCCGGGGGCTGCTGTTGCAGCTGCCCGGCAGGGCTAGCCGCTCATGGTGGCTTCTGCAGGGTTGGCCCTGGGCCAGGACTCGCCCTCGTTCCGTTCTTCCTGAAGCAGGAATTCCCTGGGGCTCAGGAATCTCAGAGGTTTGATGGTTTAAAGGAAGAGTTGGATTAATATCATGGTTCCAAATAATGGACCCAATCAATTTAGGATTCTGAGGCTGTAGCTTTTCTCAAAAATCCATTTTATTGAGTACATCATAGTGATACGTTCAAATGTGAATCCAACTCTAAATATTTCCTGCATTTTCAGCATACTAAAAAAAATAGATATCACCCACCCCCCTAGTGTCACTGGTCACGTTAACCAACCAGGTAGATGGCAGGCTGCTCAGCTACTCCCTCCAGTCGCTACGAGCTCTTATTGAGATGACCTTGATTCCCATGGGCCTTATCGCTGTTATGTCTGGCACCTGGGAGGAGATTATTCCACACCCCGTAGTTCCCTCTCCCCCCATATGTATTCCAAGAAACGAAGTAAAAAAGAATATGGCTTCAGCTAAAGTCGTTTTGGGAGTTGACACACACTTCAGGAGAATTTAGGATGCCAGATTCTCTCCTAACACCTACAAAGGATTTTCCTTCTGGTCTTCGAACAGCCTCCATCATTCCATGTAACTTGTAGCCCCCATCCCATCACTGACATGGGATACTGTTTATTGCATTCATTAAGGGCAACAAGCATTTGTTGTATTACTGTTGGTAAGAAGAATTCTGCCTGCGAGATGGATGAAACTAGCAAGTAAGCAAGAAGAGAAAAGTTTGTTTCTGATGGGTACCTCTATGTATTTGATAAACTGAGTGTAGTTGATTCTTACTTTTTGGAGCTGTGAGTAGCGTGATTAATGCAGTGCCAGAATTCACACAAGACTTGGAAAAGTAATAGTAACCCATGTCAGTGATAGGGTAACTCAAAGTCTTTGGCAGTTACCTCAATTTACATATCTTGACATCAGGATATACATAGGTAAAGGAAACTTTCATGGCAGCGAATATGAACAGCCCCTCCTTACAGATGAGATAAAATATCAATTGTTAAATAAACTAACAAAACCTGGGTTTTTTAAATGGTCTTGTTTCTTTTTGTCACCTATTACTTCTTTGATAGTTTGTGCCTACAGGTGGAATGGTGTGTGCTTAAGTAAGTATGAGTATCCCAGGAAGTGGTTCAATGCAGGGGTGGGTTCTACTTACCTTTATTACCGGTTTGCATCACGCCCACATGCGCTCTTCTGCACATGCGCAGAAGCTTCTGTGCATGTGCAGATCACCTATGATGACATCCGGGTCAGTGGGTGGAGCCTCCCTCCAGTTTTACTACTGGTTCTTGCGAACTGGTCTGAACCAGGGGCAACCCACCACTGGTTCAATGGGAGAGGAAGTCTGGAGCTCCATTGCTTCTCCTGTTTTGGCGGGATCCTCTGTTGAGAAGCCCAGTATTTACCATCATGTCAGTCAGTCACTGCCTCTCCCCAGAATTCCAGACAGTGGTTCTCTGGGAGGGAACCTTCCTTCCTTCCTTCCTTCCTTCCTTCCTTCCTTCCTTCCTTCCTTTCCTTTCCTTTCCTTTCCTTTCCTTTCCTTTCCTTTCCTTTCCTTTCCTTTCCTTTCCTTCCCCTCCCCTCCCCTCCCCTCCCCTCCCCTCCCTTCCAACACATTTAAGAAGTGCCAAGACTGAAACACTGGAAAAGAAATTTGGAGACTAGAGAAACTGAGATAAAAACAGGAAGCAGAGAATTGCAAGTGAAGCATTGAACTGTGATCTTGCTTGC